TTTTTAACTTACAAGTGCGGAAAAGCTCACGACCCACCTCATATTAAGTCGTTAACAGAGCCCGTATTTATCAACAGCGTAAACTCCGTGCTCCACTTTAGAAATAAGTTCTAAATCTCAGTTTTATAGTACAAAGGTCACACCATCATACAAACCGAAACGCATTACTGCTTTACGGCATAAATATGCAGGGCGGTGGTACCTACCCGTACGGGCTCAGATTTTATTGGGTGTTTTTATTAATAATATGTTGGTATTAGTGGGTATTTTTTTTACACAATAATTCATTATTATAGAAATTGAATTTACGAAATTAGCGAATAATAATAACAAACAAACATACAACATTGAATAGAGTTAAAACGATTCCACCATTTTTTCTGCCCAGACTGTTGATCAGCGTTCCGGTTATGGCTGTTCCGAGCATCGCTCCCAACGACGGTAGACTGCCCAGGAGAGACGCGTGAGTTTCACTGAATGGCGCCAACAGCGGGGTCAGCTCGGACTTGAAGAGCTCCGTCGTGTACGAAGGCCAGACGTTGGTGAAGCCCATCAAAAATGAACCGTAGCCACCTAAAAATAAAGTGACTTTTCTCAAAATTTTGCTACTCTTGAAGAAGTTATATTAAAATTATAAATTGCGTAATTATTGGTGGTAGGACCTCTTGTGAGTCCGCGCGGGTACCACCACCCCGCCTATTTCTGCCGTGAAGCAGTAATGCGTTTCGGTTTGAAGAGTGGGGCAGCCGTTGTAACTATACTGAGACCCTTAGAACTTATATCTCAAGGTGGGTGGCGCATTTACGTTGTAGATGTCTATGGGCTCCAGTAACCACTTAACACCGGGCGGGCTGTGAGCTCGTCCACCCATCTAAGCAATAAATAAATAAAAGTTGGTTTGTCATTATCGTCTTTACTATCCTCACTGCCCTTAGATTGCAGCGTTATTACAAGATTCAGTACGAGTATATTGAGTATCTTCGTCGTAGTTTAGCCCATGGATGATTCTATATCACATGTAGTGGCCACTTGAGTGCAGGAAGCATATTCAGAACCTGACCCTCGCTAAGTATTCAAATGATCTTGCAAATATATTAAAGACAGAAAACGAAATCCGGGCCGTCGGTATATGAAACAGAGACGGCCTTGTTTTCCTACAGGTTATATACGGTGGTGTAACTAAGCCGATGTACATACATATATGTATACATAGCAAGTAACTTCCAGGTTATCCCAGAAAACAGGCAACGAGCGCTAGATCAAAGTGTAAAACTAGTTTAAAATGAAATTAAAAAAGATATTCAAACGATTCTTTATACTGATTTTACGATTTCATTCTCATAGAGCTGGGCACCAGCCTTCGTTATACCAAGCGTGAGACGAAAACGTGTTCAAACAAAAAAATATTTGTGATAAAAAATATATATAAATAATAAAAAAACACTTACTCGCAAAAGAGGCGAACACCTGATTCAATTTTCCTTTCATTTTCACCAAAAAAAAAACCACCACCAACCACCACACTCCACGGCCGATATAATTATAAACTAGAAAATATTATGTTCTACGAAAGTACATCTTAAGTAAAGTCACGTAGGTATTAATTTAAATAAACAAGAATAGAAGATAGGTACTAAATCCGTGTTATAGTAAAATGTTTTATGAGCTGACAGACGTTATTACACTATCTGAATTGAAATACAGAAATACGCGTGGTTCTGTATTTTTCCGTTTCACCAGGATATGTGGGCGAGCACGGACTCAGCCAGGGGGGGTGGGATTTGCTAACAGCAGCCCGAGCACCTCCAAGGGAGGCCTAATAGCACAAGAGCAGCTGCTTCGCGAATGACTATACAACCGGATCTGAATCGCAACCCGCTGAGAAAATCCGGCGAGAAACTCAGCGGGCTGATGTTTAGGTCAGGTTGCACATCGAACTTGACGAGTACGGTTACCGGGCTCCTTAAGCCTGCTCTTAGTGTTAGAGCTGAGGGCGTCTAATGCAAGAGTTATTGGATCTGATGGATCCGTAAAGACGTGTCTAGGGCGTCGACCGTGATTGGTTCCTGCGTGATTAGGATTCGGGGAGTAGTCAGTGGTGGCAATGATAAGGCGATTATCATGATGAATAGCCTTATCGAAGTACCGTTCCGACACTGACTTCATGTGTTTGGGGATCGATTAGAGGCCCAGGTCGTCGTGCAGGTCAACGTTCCTCACGAACAACGGAGCTCCGATAGCTAACCTGCAAAGTCGGAATTTTAGGGATTGGAGGGTTTCTGTGTGTGTGCGGGTCGCGTGAGCGAACACCATACTCGCGTAAGTTATGCAGGGCCTTATTCAAGTTTTGTAAAGTGTCACCTTGCTCCGAAGGGACATTTTACTTCGCTTACAGATCATAGGATAAAGTCTGCTGAGAATAAACGCGGCACAGTCGCGAACTAATTTTATATGCGAGTGAAATGTCATCGATGCATCCAGGCTGACTCAGGGTGATCAAGTACTTGATCGTCATGGCCCAGGGTATTGGTTGGCCGAAGAGGGTGAACGGGTGTATGAGATTATTCCTCCTAATGCGGGAGGAAATACGGGTTGAGTTCTCCTTTGAAAGAGCACCGTTGCGCTTTTCGCTGGGTTGATATGTCTATGCGCCATTTTCGGAACCACTGCCCGAGGGTTACGGCTGCGCTCCGGAGTTTCCTCGCGATTAAGGACTTGTATCTACTCCAGTAGTAAGCGGTTGTGTCGTCGGTGAATAAGGCTAAATGGGTCGGCGGTGACTGGGAAATGTCAATAAACAAACTAAAGAGGAGCAGAGAGAGAACCGAGCTTTGCAAGACTCCGGTCGTGGGAAGGAGCGGGTTCCTTCGACTCGATATCGAAAAGAGTGGTTCGACAAGAAGTTCCGTATGATGAGCACGAGACCTTCCGGCATACCCATGTTAAACAGTTTGAAAATCAAACTGTTGTGCCAGACTTTGTCAAACGTTTTGACGGCTTCCGTGTAGAACGGCTTTGGTCGGTTAAGCCCTACGAGAATGAGCTGCGTGAGGCGCTTCACCTATTTTACGCATGAGTAATTTAAGCGGAATCCGAATTGTTCGTCGATAAGAATGCCCTTGGATGAGGCTTTTGTAGAACAGACGCTCGTACAGTTTGCCTAGAGACATGAGGAGGCTAATCGGTCGGTACGCCCGTGAGTTCCTTTGCATACGTGTCAAACAAACATTATCTAAATCAAAGCAAACTATGTACTCTTTAAACAAATGTTTAAGCTATTTACTATTTTGAAACGTATAGGGCCATAAACTCTGAAGCTGAAGCAAATTACGTAATTATTCGCAAAGCCTTCCGCAAAACGTTTGCAGATAAGCTTTCACTATAAATCTCGATATATAATAGGTTGGGGAAAAAGTTTCTTCGCATTTTTTAAGAAAATTCACAACAATTTTTTTAATATAGTTTATTTACATTTAACTAAAGTATGTAGGAACCATTTTGTTCGATAACTTTTGGCCATCTTGTAGGTAGGAAGATGATCGATCCCATGGCTATAGAAATTTTGGGGCTTCTAGTCAAAATACCGCGACAATTGGTTTTGGCAGTCCTCTCGTGATGTTAACCTGACACTGCCTAAAGAATTCTAAAGAGACCGAAGCAGGTAGTAATCAGAAGGTGCAAGGTCAGGACTATACGGCGGATGCATTAACACCTCCCAGCCAAGCTCTCTTACTTTTTGCTGAGTGGCTAAAGATGTGTGAGGTCTAGCGTTATAAATGCGCCAAAGCTGTTTTGTGGTCAATTTCCAGTTCTTCAGCTACGTCGTAACTACTGATATGCCGATCTTGCTCCACTTTTTCAAAAATGGCATCCATTTTATTCGTATTAGGGTGACCAGAGCGACGTGCATCTTTGACATCAAAATTTCCGGATTGAAAACGCTTAAACCAAATTTGTGCTAACAGTAGCAGTGCCTGTGAGAGCACAGACACTGCACTAGGTCTATAAACATCGCAAATTTTTTCGCGGCTTGCGTTGCATTTTTATCATCTTTGTAGTAAAATTTTAAAATGTATCGAATTTCTTCATTAGATTCACTAATGTCTTGACAGTACGAAAAATAAATAAAAATCACACATTTTCCTAATTTGAATTTGGAATTATCTTCTTTAAAATTTAAACTTTTAATGATACCAAAACCAGCCAGATACAAATAGTAGTATAAGCCAAAGAGATTTTATTACAAGTTCATACATATTATAATGCGAAAATACTTTTTCCCCAACCTATTAAAAAACTAATTATGTGGTGTCGTGGGACACCAGGTAGGAACGAAGTTCCTTCGGCTAATGTAGAATCGACACAATTTGCAAAAAAAAAATTCGTGCTCAATTTTATGTTGGTTTTCTTGATTTTTCTCTTAAATTTTGCTGATTAGTTTTTATTTAAGGACAGGAAAGTATTTAGGAAATTCAGTATTTTAGGAAATAATAAATTACGTAAAATAAAAATAAAATCGTAATTCAAATTATCAATTAAAATAACAAAATATGTCTCTTTATTTTTGTTTGACAACATAAAATTACATAGAAATAGAAATAATTACAAAATAGAGAGAGAAGGGATGAGAGAACGAAAAGAAAGAGGGAGAAAGAGAAAGGTATTATACACTACTCGCTTGTGTACACGACTGTCGCGCCTGCGCACGTCTCATTTAACGGTTTTATTCCACGGACTTTTTTCCACTGATTTTTTCTTACGGTTTTACTATCACATTTTTTTCAGTTCGGTCGCGCAGCACATCCCTATCCCCTCCAAGCCTGCCGTAAGGAACTTCGTTCCAATAATATAATATATAGTACGATTTGAAGAGTATAATAAGTACTTCTTGCATTGTAGCAACACAAAAGTTTTGGCTTTCACATGGTGATAATATATTCGGTAGCGGTTTAAAACTATTTTAAAAGACAACAAATTAAACAGCATTTTATAAAACAATTTTAATTCTTTCTCTTAAGAAAAACATCCTGTATTTGGGAGTTCGATAACCCCTTCGTTTCCGGCACTATGATGTAACTAACGGCCATATTACACAGAGCCACTGCCGCGAAGCAGTAGAACACGCCGTGGATCCCAACTAATGTGGTCATGTAGCTGAATATGATCAAGATGAAAAAATTGAGGAACCAGACCCATTCAATTATCAGCATTGATGCAAAGTTTTGAACCTAAAAAAAAATACGTTAATATCAATATTTGTTTGACTGCTTCATTATAATCATTAAGATCAGAATGACTAGCTTACCGAATAGATAAAACGACTGTCTAAAAAACTAGCATGAATTGCTTCTGGATGCACATTAAAAAAAATTACAGTATGTTTATTAAACTGTGACGTCACTATGAAGTTACACCCGGCGTTTTAGGTCACATGACCAAACCGATCATTCTGTTTAGAAGCCTTTAGACACTCAGGATATGAATATGATTAAGCCCCAGCATTACTTTTGCAGAGAAGCAATATTACAGTTTCAAGACCAAAGTATTCTAAGAGAGTTTGACTCCAGGCTAGCGAATAACTTTCAGGCTGATGTACTTATACTTATTTATGTGTAGGTTCTAAGAAACTCAAAATCCTCACCTCGGGCACAAACACCTCTGCCAGCAGGACATAAGGCACGCTACCAGCTCCGAACATGAAGGCGAAGCAGTAAATTAATATTACCAGAATGGTGACCCAAGATGGTGCACTTTTACTCTGCAGAAGATATCCCAGCGAGGCCATGCAGAGGGACACAAGCGCTGAAGACGCTATTATTAACACCTAGAAATAGAATTCAGATTCAATTAGGTACGGCATGTGGTTAGATTCTAATTAGATTTGAAGAATGAAACAGCTACTTTTAGTAATACTATTGATCCCATTTCTTAAGTGGACAGGTACCACACAGATGATGTTTCTGGACTTCAGTAATCACACCAGATGAGCCGTGAACTATTCTGTCCATATACAATACTAAAATTACTAAACCTCTCCTTACCGAAATATACGAGCAATTTTTCTATTGCTCTAAGCATGTGAATGAACTCACGAGCTCATCTTGGTGGCTTAGGGCCCATTGATGCAACGAATAACCGCCATTACTCAGGAAATGAGTTAAAAATTCCAATTGCATCTTCTTTTTATTGTTTAGATATGTGGACGAGCTAACAGTTCACCTGGTGTTAAGTGGCTACTGGAGCCCATAGACATATACAACGTAAATGTGTCACCCACCTTGAGATATAAGTTCTAAGGTCTCAAGTATAGTTACAACGGCTGTCCTACCCTTCAAACTGAAACGAATTACTGCTTCACGGCAGAAATAGGCAGAATGGTGATACTCACCCGTGCGCGTTTATTATAACACTAGCGACCCGCCCTCGCTTCGCTTCGGAAACATTAAAACACACATAAAACCAAAAAAAATAAAATAAAAATAAATGAAAAAAAAGTAGCCTATGTTCATCAGGGACAATGTCGGCTTCTAATGGAAAAATAATTTTTCAAATCGGTCCAGTAGTTTCGGAGCCTATTCGAAACAAACAAACAAACAAATCTTTCCTCTTTATAATATTAGTATAGATATAGATTCTAGCACCAGTGATGGTACTTAACATTTCTCAAAGTTATAAATGATGGCGCTAAGTGTAGCGTTAGTCCTAGCTGCCAGAGCATGACTATACTCGTGTCTTAGATTACAAGTTTCTATTTATATCCATAGCGTTAAAAACTTTTAAGTTTTAATTCACTCAATGCTATCAAATGGGACTGCGGTTAGAAGTTGACTACGGATTTTAAGCTTTGTTTGTCTATTATCTCTCTTTCTCTTTCTATCAATATTTAATCTGTGGGAAAGTTATGGTATTCAAATTTCCAAGAATAATATAACACATGGGAGAGAGGTGATAGATAGGACCTGAGATTGGCCAAGTTTATGCCGGTCGGCGGACGATATAGCGATTTGAACATCAATCTGCCAATATTCTATCTGCTCAGCTGCTACCCCTATTTTGCAATTACTCTATGTATTAGAGTATGTATTCTGACTGGGCTTCAAGTTGAATTGAAAAAAAAAGGTAATAATTGCAGTATCGCGAAACAGACGGCTTTAAATACAAGAAAAAGTTATTAGAAATGGGCCAAATGAGGCACTAAGCCCCTACTTACCGCAAAGAAAAATATAGCGTGCAATAAGACTTCAGACAATTAATAATTTGCGCCGATTATTATCAGAGATACGTCTATGCATCTGTCTCAAGAGCGTTACATTCTAGGTCACACTGAGGAGCATCACACACTACTTGCTAAAAATCTTTCAAAATTAAAATAGAACCTACCCTTCTACCAGCTTTGTCAGCAACAGTAGCAGTGACAAGTGTTCCGCTGCAAAGCGTCAGAGCGAACAGCACTGTGTATAAATCAGATTTGGCAGGGTCTGTCTGTCTGAAGACCTCCTTAGCATATACTTGTACTGGAACTATGCCCATGAAAACCTGAAGAATCATTAAAATCATTTGCACCTATGGTCTAAGGCCAAGCGAGTGGAATTTTAGAAAATCGTTCGGAAGTAATTACCGAGAGTATCGTTAAAGAATTATTTGGCTGTGGACACTATAGGTATAATGCGAATTCGATCAGCCTTTAGAAATAAAATGGAAGTGTTCATAGTGGATCCCAGAGGTAGCTTAGCCTATCTGTGCACTTAGTATTATCAGAGTTTTTGTTAGAGTTCATGGCAATAAAAACAAATCTGTCCTACTTCAAAGTTTCCTCTTCTATTTCGTTATTGTTCGAAAAGCCCTTTCATGTTAGTCGATAGAAAACAAAAAATGGCCTATGCCTATGCTTAAAATTAACCAGCCAATTTAATAATGTTACGCGCTGGGGTTCGGGATAAATAAATGTTCAACCAAAGTACAACTTAAAACTGTATTTATCACTTAGAACACAAACAGAACACTTTAAAATTCGTAATTCGCTTCTCCCGCTTCGCTTCAGCTGATCCGTTCGCTGTTTCACTTCGAGTAGCTCCGATTACTAACTGACTGCGTGCCATCTCTGCAACGCTTCTATAGTCGAGACGAAATCCTTAGAATCGTCGAGAATATTCCACAAAAGTCTAGTATCGTGTGTTTCCGCTATCTGACAATAGATGGCGTTGTGCTTCTCGATGCGTTCGAGATGCTACTAGATCCTTCGATTTTCGTTCGACTATTCGGCGATAGATGGCGTTACTCTTACCAGCGTAACAATAATATGGGTGCGAACGCTTAAAATAATTAGAGATAATTTACCTGCATCGAGATCACAGTTAAAACGGTGAAAAAGCCCCGCAGTGACGATGGCGTCGTAACTGAAAAATATAAAGCAGAGCCTAATGTTATCAGGAATAAATAGTTTCTATCATTTATGTCTACTCGCTACAATCTGTGAGCGTCAAAGAGAAAAGTCAGTGGAAAAGATGTAAGAAAATATTTAATGATTATATTATTATCATGACAGAAGCAATATTTAAAAAGTCCAGTTTTTACTTAAATTTATTTAGTTTCAAGCCAATGTCACATACTACTACTAAAGTACTAAAATCAAATGATCTCAATGTCATCGTGGTACCTACATATAAATCCTCCCGTGTCTTCTGGGTGTCACTAGCAATTGATAATGGGGGCTATTCTAAAGAGCTACCACCAACCTTTCTATTTCTTTCGAGAAATCATTTGTCCGATTTGAAATGTGGGTGAAAAGCTATACAATACAATTGAGGCTTGAACCTCATGTCTGTTTCAAGGTGGTTGGCGATGTGAGCGGTGTGACATCTGTCCATCTAGTGTCGTACGAAAATCCCGTACTTACACAACTGTTTGATAGTAGATACGTTTTGGGTTGGTTCATGTACGTCATCATCATTGTTAAGTTTCTCCTTTTCAGCCTCTTCTGCTTTGCTGTCGGGCTCTGAAAGGTCCATATGTAAAGATCCAAATGTATATTTGAATTTAGTATCTGGAAAATCATCTTCAGGAGAAATAAAAAATTCAAATCGAAGCCAAATTATTAAGTTATACAGTGAATACAATAGTTGTTAAAAAGTTTTTTAACTCGTACTATTCATTGGGAATGTCTGGAACTCATAGTTTTGACTTGTTTTTTTTTCTTCCAAAATTTCTTAAATCTAGGAAACGAAAGTCACAAAAATGTTGTTTCGAATTCCCTAAATCTAAGAAATGAATCTATTTCTCTAAATCTAATTGAAGTAGTTTTGTCACCTGCGGTAACAGAAACGAGTTCAATAGCTGGCACAACTTGTTGCTTTATCCTTATCAGCTCATCAATTACTCCCATGGAAGCTGGCGACAGACCTTTGTAGCGTGCGATAGATGCGCGGGCGTCCTGAAAAATTAAATGCTTTTTATTTGAGATCAGTTAATCGTACTAATCGATCACACTAGTACATCGATCAGTTTGAGCTCTTGTTTCGCGAAGATTTGATAGGATCTACTGTCTGTGAGGGGTTAAATTTTAAACTCATCCCTTCTTTTCTTCCCTCGCAAGTTCTTATTATCGATTCTTTTGCTTTTAGACTCTGCACTGCTACGATCGATCATTCCTATCCAATTTTAAAAAAATATGTTTTTATTTGTGTAACTGGTGATGTCTGTGACTGATTGTTATTTATACCAGTAGTATTAGTAGTAGTATTTCCACTAGTACTAGAGCTACGGTTCTGAATTCTCATTTATTTGAAATTTTGTAATATTCTGGGTAAGTATCAGATAATATTGGACACTTTTTACACAATAGTAGATTCATCAATTGATTTACCGATATGTCCTGACCAAACTAAAGTTACTAATATTGTTTTTTGTTCTACTACGTCAATTATTTGCACGTATGAATAAAATGATAAGAATTATTTTCATACCTCTTCCCTTTGTTTTCTCATGTAGTAAATAGGACTCTCTGTACTCAACAAAAAGAGAAAAACTCCGGTCACGCTCAAAGCTAAGCTTATCCATATTATAACATGGTAGGTAGAGAACCAGCCTATGATGTAGGATAGTAAGACTCCCACGCAGTAGAGAAATAAAGGACCTGTAGGACAAAGTATAGGATTCATCAGCCGTTTCATAGTGCTAGGATTTTCCTAGTGTAATCCAATCAACAGACTAGATATGTTCAAAACAAGGCAGAGAGATTTCTCAACCAAAAATGATTGTGTTTGTTTCTAATATGATCAATTTCACGAACACGCACTACACAGTAACCTATGTGATGTTAGCATTGGAATGTGGTCACACATCACAAAGCTTAGTCTATAGCTGAGCCTAGGCTAGAGTCTATTCTGAAGAATTATAGTCTCTTCAGATAATATCATAAAGTTTGTGGATAAGCTCTGGCTTATTTACCGCTAACTTCATCAAAGAGGTTGCCACTCGTTAACTTTTTAGCATAATCAAAGACCATATTTTCACACCTTTTGCCGCCTATTTCGGGTTATGAGCTCATGTGATCAGTGCATTAGTGATTAATATAATGTTAGATAGATTAAGTACATGATCAATAAGTGACAAAGTGAAATGAAATCCAATAAATAGGTCTTTACTTGAAGCCAAAGCCCCTCTGATGGAATCGTCCGCGATCTCCGATATAAATATTGGGGCCATCACCAGCAAACCCCCACCGGAGATTCCGGCTAGGAACCTCGCAACCAGGATCAGTATCGGTGAGGAACTTAGCTCCACTATGGTCCATGATAACTGGAAAACAAATTGTAGTAAATTGTATTGGTGGTAGAATGTGTTCGATTTTTACACAAGAGAGCACGTAGTTCCTTAAGGCTTTTTTATTACCTACATGGGCCGTCGGACTCACAACCCACCTGCTGTAAAGTGTGTCTCAAGTAAGTCAGTTTTATAGAACAACGGCTGCGCTACCCTACCAACCGTTAAATTTAAAAAAAAAACACATGAATGTCATGTTACGGTTCAAGGTAGAACGTATGAAACTGTAATAGAAGTAGAATTTACTCATTATGAGATGTCTTCTGAGCTCGCACAAGTAGGTACCGCCGCCCTGCCTATTTCTGTCGTGAAGCAGTAATGCGTTTCGGTTTGAAGGGTGGGGCAGCCGTTGTAACTATACTGAGACCTTAGAACTTATATCTCAAGGTGGGTGGCGCATTTACGTTGTAGATGTCTATGGGCTCCAGTAACCACTTAACACCAGAGCTCGTCCATCCATCTAAGCAATAAAAAAAAAACATGTGTGCAATTCACACGTGGTAGAAGTGAAACCTTCCAAAATTAAAATACAATTATCCTAAACGTCTCAAGTATATGTAAAATTTTGTCATTAGTAAATAATTGTAAGGTAGCGCCCTCTGTGAATTGATATTTTAATTTCACGTATAATCCTAAATTAAAATTCACTACAAGAGCTTTCATACACACGTTAGTATTAAAAAATCTCACAGATGGCGCTGTATTAAATAGTATGTATATTTCTGTCTCATTCTTTGCTGGCGTCATCCTACACATTTTTGTATTTGTGTCTCTTACCTGTCGTTTTTTCCGTTGCATCCGGTTTGAAACCACAACGATTCTAAAGAAGTTTTCACTTCAAAAACAAATAGAAGAAAATAAAAGAATATCCGGACCTCGAACTTAAGGCCCGTGATTTTGTCAGGGCCATTGGCCAACTGGATCAACTGTATCAGAAAATGCTCTTAGTATACAAAGGCCCATCGACGTAATTGAAATCGTGACGTAATAAGGGGCGTTTAAGTGACCCAGTATAATATGTTTGAAATGATACCTTCAACACATGTGTGGTGAATTCGATGATAATCAGTCGTTTTAAAGCAGCGAATATCGTGACCTAGTTTTCTGAAAATTTTTCTTATTTTTTAACCGACTTCAAAAAAGGAGGAGGTTCTCAATTCTACTGTATGTTTTTTTTTTATGTTTGTTACCTGATAACTTTTGACTGGGTGAATCGATTTTGATGTTTTTTTATTTATTAGAAAGCTGACCCATTGTGGTCCCATTTCAATTTAGTCCAGTTCTGATAATGGTATCCATGAGAAAACCATATAAGTCTTAAACTTGCATTAAGTACGTGCGCGATAAATAGATGAATAAATCAATAGCTCAATATCACGCCAACCGATTTCGATGATTATTGTTTTTAGTGTATATTAATTTGTTTTGGAATATCTTTTTTTTTTCTATTTGAAGTCGGTTTTTATTAAAGCATGTCTATTTACAATTATATTATTATATTATTATTTTCGTGTTACGTTCCTAAATGTAGCTAATGCTTTACAATTATGTTAACGAGCTTTTAATAGTTTCGACTATCGTTCGTCTCTTTCTCTCTTTCGGAATATTTCTAGGCAGCTTTCGCGGCACCACTTATTATTTTTCTATTCTATACCTAGTCGATGGTGGCTTGTTTCAGCTACACTCCGGCTGGTATTGCAATAATTGTTACGTTATAATACTCATTGTAAAAAAGGAATACTTTAAAAAAATTTAATTTAAAAAAAGAAAAGAAAAAAAGACATGCCCGCTGCGTTTCTTGCCAGTTCTTCTGAGGACGGAGGCTAGTTTTTGTGAATCGGCGGTAGTTCTTTTTGACGTTCAACAAGTATGTACTTTCATTTATGTTGAATAAAATAAATTTTGATTTTGATTTTGAAAAATTTTTGATTTTGATTTTGCTCGATAACCTCACGGGGTTCAAATAGAAAAAGTTTGCTAACACTGACCCTAGCAAGAACAGTGCGTCGCTGAATCTGTCACCGAATCGGAATGGCGACCTACTGACGAGATCCGGTGATAAGCTTTGTAGGCTGAACCAACATCAACATCCTATTAATTTGAAAATAGACTCACGTATCATGGTCCGATGATGAACAAGGATGGTTAAAATGGTATTTTACCTTTTTTTTTATTGCTTAGATGGGTGGACAAGCTCACAGCCCACCTGGTGTTAAGTGGTTACTGGAGCCCATAGACATCTACAACGTAAATGCGCCACCCACCTTGAGATATAAGTTCTAAGGTCTCAAGTATAGTTACAACGGTTTCCCCACCCTTCAAACCGAAACGCATTACTGCTTCACGACAGAAATAGGCGGGGTGGTGGTACCTACCCGTGCGGACTCACAAGAGGTCCTACCACCAGTAAATACCTTTTGTTATATAGATTACATTTTTATTGTACTTTAGAATTTTATTATTTTAGTTTGATTGCATGACCCGAAACACCAGCACAAAAATTTATTTATTTATTTAACTTCAATTGGGTTATGGTCAATACATGGTAGTGTGTGTAATGTTTTCTTTATTGATTTAATGTATATTTTATGCATTATTTTAAATAAATATTAGCATTGTGAACTTCTTCTCTATAATCTCTATAAGTGTGTGAAATTTCATACTCCTCCGTCCGCGCAATTTTCGTAAAAAGGGATACAAAGTTTTTGCTTCACGTATTAATATATAGATTAGACAATGACCGAGCTATGTTTTTTTTTGCTCGTTTTTTTTTATAATTTGTGTTTTTCGGGTGGCTTAACAACGCCATCTCCTGAAATAGTTTTAGTGTTATTGTGTCTTTAAAGCAGTTAGTTGCTCTTCGCCAATAGATGTCGGGAATTATATACAAGAATTGCTCGTTTAAAGGTATAAGATAAAACAAACAAACATACAACATTGAACAGAGTTAAAACGATTCCACCATTTTTTCTGCCCAGACTGTTGATCAGCGTTCCGGTTATGGCTGTTCCGAGCATCGCTCCCAACGACGGTAGACTGCCCAGGAGAGACGCGTGAGTTTCACTGAATGGCGCCGACAGCGGGGTCAGCTCGGACTTGAAGAGCTCCGTCGTGTACGAAGGCCAGACGTTGGTGAAGCCCATCAAAAGTGAACCGTAGCCACCTAAAAATAAAGTGACTTTTATTAAAGGTCCGCTCCGGCTCCGTTCGGGTCTTTAACAAAAATTTCAACGATATTTGACGTTGTTTTATTTTTTTTATTTAAATTCTAATTCTAATTCAAAATCATTTATTTCAACTTAGATGTCAGCATAACACACTTGTTGAATGTCAAAATATAAAAAACAGTGTTAACTCTACCGCCGGTTCCAAAAAAAGTCACAGTTCTGAGAAGAACCGATGAAACAAACTCAGCGGGCTTTTTTTGTTTTTTTCTCAAATATTTTCTTTTTATTTTAAATAAATAAAAAGATTTACAATAAACGAAAAAACAAGTCAAAAAATACAATAAAAATAATAATAATGAAAAATGAAAAAGCCAGAAGCGAACGCCTCATTCCCACGTAGTGCCATCTAGTAAATAATCCTTAACTTTATAATATGCCTTGTTGCACCAACGTTCCTTGACAGTTTCCTTAAATCTATGAACGGTAGTAATTGAACGTTTTATGGGATCTTGTTGTAAAGTTGTACACCCAGCCCCCTAAAAGAGTTGCTTATTTTCTTAATTCGAGCCGCCGGCAACTCAAAGGAACACTTATTGCGGCATAACTATAATAGTTACACATATGCTGTCGCAACACTTTTTGTAAATAATAATGTGGTCTACAAAGTCTTAGCACATTATTTTATTCTATCATCAATAGTTTTCGCAGGGCACGCGATGTAAAGAATATGTTAGGTACTTTTTTTACACCTTGGGTTACATTATTGGAGCTTTAGTAAGGATCCCTATTTTTTTTCAAAAAAGATTATAGCCTATGTCACTCGGGAGTAGTGTAGCTCCCAAACAGTGAAAGAATTTTTCAAATCGGTTCAGTAGTTTCAGAGCCTATTCAATACAAACAAACAAACAAATCTTTCCTCTTTATAATATTAGTATATAAGTAGATTTTACTACTCTTGAAGAAATTGGTTTGTTACTATCGTCTTTACTATTCTCACTGGCCTTTTTTCCTATCTATGCTGATAGCCTTAAGAAGCTATTTCAGCTTTTCCTTGACGTGTACGGGGCTCAAACCGGGAGTGTTGCTAACACTGGCCCTAACAAGAGCAGTGCTTCGCAGAATCTACCACCGAATCGGAAACGCGACCCACTGAGAAGATCCGGCGAGAAACTCACTGGGCTGTATCTATGAGTTAATTTACTCGTCGATCCCTTCGTCGCGAGCGACGGGTTCGGCGAGGACGGTGACCGGTGCTTGTGGTACCTAAAAGCACCGTTAATGGATCGGGAGAATCTGTAATGACGTGTTCACCGCCCTAATATCACAGTGTTATAAAAATATTGAATACAATTATATTGAGTCTCTTTGTCGTAGTATAATTAGCCTACGGGTGGTTCTATATCATATGCAGTGGCCAATTGAATGGATGAAGCATATTCAGAACTTGACCCTCGCTAAAGAATCAAATGATCTTACTGTAGGTATATCACAAAGGGAAGATCTTCCACCGAGCGTGTGTTATTGCTCAGTAGACCGACGGTCCAAATGTTTTTATGTTTGAGAGATTAAACTGTTGTTCTACCATATTTAATAATTAGCAGACACTGTTTTGATGTGTACATGTTCAGAATACGTTTAATGTTTATATTATTGTTTAAAAACACAAATGACTGTATAAATAATTAAATATGAATAAAGCATAAATATTAATAATAATTTATATTATAATTAATAGTAATAATTTAACTAAGTATTGTAATTGTTATGCAATGATGTTGTTGGCGCCATCTATTATTAGACTGGATAATAACAATATTAGTTTGTATTAGTTATATTAGTTAAAAGTAATTTATGTAAAATAAATTAATGTCAGAGTCATGTAAAAATCACTAAAATATGTATTGTGAATATTAAGCCATATTTTGTGAATTGTTTCGGAGTAATTACATTTGTTTGTATAAAAGTAGTTGTAGTTGCTATAACCAACACAAAATGGCTAATTGTGTAAGAACTAAGACGTAGCTTTTTGTAATAAAATAGTAATGTTAAAGTTTTATAGAATTGTATTTTCATTGTAAAAGAACTTATATGTGAAAACCCTGGCTTAACATCGACATATACATAACAAGGAACTTCAAGGTTATCTCAGAGGACAGGCAACAAGAATAAAAAAATATATGCAAAAGATTCCTTAGAATTATACATATTGAGTAATAAGCTTATTCTTCTTTCTAGCGTTTTCCCAGTCTAGTTTCAGGGTCAGCTTTCCTACTTAAACTCCTCCACTTTGCCAGTTCTTCGGCATCCTTCTGGGTGAGATTCTTCTCCACCATATATTTCTATTATAACTTATACCAAATTTTTTTAATTAGCACAGCGATCTTACAGAATTACACTGGGCTCTATCTATAGTGTAATTAATGGCTTTGTAGATACATGAGATACGCCTATTTATCGGTAAAAACCTTACGGAAGGCCACATTGATTTCCTTCATAGGCAAAAGTGGGTATTTCTATTCTTTGGCATGCTGGCCCAAAAATATTAGTTACTACCCGTCCGCTTCGCACATTTAAAATCAACATTATTATTTCTCACCCCCACAAAGATTCTCATCATTAACGCCCCCGCAAATGGTGTAGGGAGTCCAACACTCATATAAATATTAGCCTATCCATTAAGTACATGTATTTTCTACATGGATACCAAGTTTCAAGTCAATCGGTGCCCATAGACATCTACAACGTAAAGGCGCCACCCACCTTGAGATATAAGTTCTAAAATCTCAGTATAGTTACAACGGCTGCCCTACCCTTCAGACCGAAACGCATTACTGCTTCACGGCAGAAATAGGCAGGGCGGTAGTACCTACCCGCGCGGACTCACCTACCACCAGTAAAAGTACCATGTGCTCGTTTGCCTAGAAGCGCGATTTAAAAAAACACACTTAGTCAGCTTTTCACGATTTCATTCTCATAGACCTGTTGGCACCAGCCTTCTTTATAACAAGCAAGAGACGAAAACATGTCAAAACAAAAGATAATTATTACAAAAACAAAAAAACACTTACACGCAAAAGAAGTGAACACCTGATTCAATTTTCCTTTCATTTTCACCAACAAAAAAAAAAAAAAACATAATACCACCGCACTCCACATCCGATATTATAATTACAGACTATAAAACATTATGTTCAACGAAAGTAAATCTTAAGTAAAGTCACGTATGTATTAATTTAAATAAACAAGAACGGAAGATACTAAATCTGTGTTAAAGTCAAATGTTTTACGAGCTGACAGATGTAATAACTTTATTACACTATCTGCATGGAAAAACAGAACCGCGCGTGGTTCTGTATTATGCATTATATTTTATATCGGCAATGCACCGTGAGGTACGTGCACACACACATTTAAAACCGGGTTATCGGAGAATAGACCTTTTCAATATGACGGCTGGGTGCAATGCCAGGTGGGTTAAAGCTTCCGCCACCCAGGAGATGTGAATAGGCAGACGGGCTAACAGAAATTGACAAGGTATTGGCGCTTAATCGACTGTATCCATACCTGTTACCACTAATTACATGACTAATGATGTACAGTGTGCTTAGTGCGAGTTTTTTAACGTTCTCGATAGCGTAAAAGTTAACTCATATTTGTATGGAATGGGATCGTTTGCCTACGTTTGCCGCTAGGGGCGCTGTTTCAACTGCATACGAAATTGGGTTAACTTTTACGCCATCGATAACGTTAAAAAACTCGCACTAAGCACACTGAAGTAAGCTTTTAGTCGTGAGAGTCTTTTTATTTTTATTAAATACGCTTTTATTAGCTTCAGACGTATGTATGTTAGTATGTCACGGAATCTTCGAACATGATTTTGACCCCCTTCAAAACGTCGGGTTAACACGAAATTTGGCATACTTATTAAGGACCGATGACAATTCGATATTTAAAAAATAATAATAGTAAATATTGAAATTCAATTAAAAATTGAATATAATTAATAGTTTAAAAAAAAATTGTAATAAGTAAACTAATAAAATACGCTTTCATAGAAAATTCAACTAAAAAATAGAAAATAAATTTTAATAAATTTGAATTAAAAATAGTGTAAGAAAAATATATTTTATTGTTAAAAAGCGTTTTAGGACCTCTTGTGAGTCCGCCCGGTAGGTACCACCGACCTGCGTATTTCTGCCGTGAATCAGTTCGGCTTGAAGGCTGGGGCAGCCGTTGTAACTATACTTGAGACCTTAAAATTTATACCTCAAGGTGGGTGGCACATTTACGTCGCAGATATCTATAGGCTCCAGTAACCACTTAACACCAGGTGGGCTGTGAGCTCGTCCACCCATTTAAGCAAATAAAATAATAAGCATGTATCTCTTATCTTTTCGATACCGCAGACATTTCCCGTAGAAGTTCACCAGGACTCGTTCATTCGGAATCCAAAACAATGAAAATACGTAAGGATCCCCGACAATGCATGTCACTGCTCTTTTGATATGACACTTGTCTATTTATACTACGATAACATTAATTAATTGTACGTTGTACTTACATCATATTCGATATAATTTGTTCCATCGACCTCGGCAATAAATAATTTGAGTATTCGACGCAAGAGACACAGCGTATTTCGCTTTGAACGACATCTATATTCCTAGTCAGGTCATAAATTCTGTCACATGTTTAATGTAAAATAATTGAAACAAGTTTATTCATTATGTAACCATTCATATACCAAGGAGGGCCAGTCTTCGTGCCGGATGAAGTCGATTTCACGCGCCACCAGCCAGTCTTGTGTGCTCTTCGCTCTATGAGCTGGCGCCAAATCTTGTTGGAATACCCAGTGCCTGTTATTGAACATGGTATGAGAAACAGGTTCCACAAGGTTCGTCAGGACTGTATTTTGATACACAACTGCATTCGTTTTTACACCTTTCTCACAAAAATGTACCTTTGTTAAGCCCCGATAAGAAACTCCCAACCATACCATGAGCGAGGATGGAAAATGACCTCGTTGGACACGCGGAATACGGTTGCTCGCTTCATTCATTTTGTTTGTTGTAGCTCTCTTCTACGGTAAAAATTTTTTCATCCGAAAAAAGAATTTCCCGATATTTTTTTCCCGCGTACCGCTTCAACAAAGCGCGGCATCTCTTCAGTCTCAGGTCCATTAGACGAGCATTCAAACGATGTCCTATTTTTCTTCGATATGCCCGAAGCCCTAACTCTTCATTTAACACCCTTTTCACCGTGGTTCTGCTTAACCCCATCTGAAGGGCCAACAGTTTCTCCTTACGTTTGGGATTTCTTTGAATTCGCGCCTTCACCACTACTGGAGTCCTAACAGACCGAGGGCGACCACTTCTTGACCTGTCTACACTAGAGTCTTCATTGTATCGTTTGATGGTACGATAAACGAATCTTTTGGTTATATTCAAATTTTTCAGTATGTGTAAAAATTTGAATTGGCGCGTAACCGCAACGATGCAACGCAATAACTGCAACACGGTCTTCTTTAAGCGTCCACTCCATATTAAAAAATGAGTAAAATTCTAAAAGTATACATTTTTATTTTCATGAACAATTCGAAATTCGAATTCAATAAACTTTTTTGTGGCCAGTATTCTAAAAGAAAAGTTTTTACTGTGTGACAATACTTATGACCTGACTAGTTATATATAAAAGAAAGTCGTGTTAGTTACACTATTTATAACTCAAGAACGGCTGAACTGATTTGACTGAAAATCAATTTATCACGTTCCCGTGGGACGTGACCTAAAACGTAGTATAAGAAAACGCAACTAACATGGAATAACAAAACGCAGTTGACAGATAAATGTAATGTAGTCTATCTATATCTATACTAATCTATACTAATATTATAAAGAGGAAAGATTTGTTTGTTTGTTTGTTTCGAATAGGCTCCGAAACTACTGGACCGATTTGAAAAATTCTTTTTCCATTAGAAGCCGATATTGTCCCTGATGAACATAGGCTACTTTTTTTTATTTTTGATTTTTTTTTTTTTATTTTCATGTGTGTTTTAATGTTTCCGAAGCGAAGCGAGGGCGGGTCGCTAATGGTTAAATAAAGTAGAATTTTGAAGTTGACTGGTTGATGTGTTTGTTTCGAGTTTCTATTAGCTTATTGTGCTGAGATAGGTAATCATTAAGAAAGCCATGTCGTGACCAACACGATCACATCTTTTCCAACGAAGCCGTAATGCAAGGATTCGAAATATTGCGAGTGAAAGAACTAAAGAAGAACAAGAAATAAAAGTATAGTTATAATAATAATGATAACAACTAAAATACATGTCCATTATAGAATCATTAAAATACTTGCTTTTTCATTTACATTAATTATCCAAATCAAAAATTTACCTTGATAAAATCCAAAGTCTACGCATTTATTGCCTCTAAGGCGGAACAAAGTTCGCCGGGTCAGCTAGTTTATTAATAATAGCACGACGTGAATGTTGTAAAAAGTGCAACCAAAAAACTAGAAAAGTCCCATAGTCAAAAAGGTATTGACTCCTAGAATAAACTCAGTATTAATCTATACTTATAATATTATAAAGCTGAATAGTTTGTTTGTTTGAACGCGCTAATCTCAGGAACTACTGGTCCGATTTGAAAAATTCTTTCAGTCTTAGATAGCCCATTTATTGAGGAAGGCTATAGGCTATACAACATCACGCTAAGACCAATAAAAGCGGTTAAAAAGCGTTATTAAATAGCTCCTTAACATTCTATTACTCAAAAATTTTTTCACTTTCTACGTAAATGAAGAGGCGGGTAAAATTTAGCGTTATGCCAAAGTAAGTATTCCACGCAGACGAAGTCGCGGGCAAAAGCTAGTTTAACTACTACCTAGAAACGAATGGTTTTACTACATTATTTTGAAGGTGAACTCACGACCACGGACACCGTTATAACAGTTAAAATTATCATTATTATCACAGTTATTGTTGTGATGTCCAAAGACCAGTAACTGTGAGTTATTTCGGGTAAAAAACATCCGTCACATCTGATTTGTTGTCTGTCCTACTCTAAAGAATCTCTACTATAGAATTATCCCAGTCAGTATCTACTCCTTCACTACCAGACTATTGCATTCTCTGCAACTCTTATTTTCCCAAAGCATAGAATATAGAGCGTAAGCATAAGAGCATACCGCCCACCTGATAGTGAGTGGCTAAGTGGCTATCACTCAGGGACGTCAGTGATACCAAAGGCAGACTCAAAATGTTGCCTACAGCTAATGTATTATTAGCCTGACTATAAATATTCACACTATAAAATAGATTCACAGTTATCATCCAAATGCGTATATACCATTGGTAATAGTATAAACTATTTGTACCATGAAGCACCTTCCGACGGTTTTAAGAGTGAATAATTCCAAAATCGGCGAACACAATTGCGCATCGCGTTCTATACTCTTCAGTGGTCGTGACTTAATTTTCAAAAACTTGCATAAGGCCCGTCCTGACTTACGCGAGTGTAGTGTTCGCTCATGTGGCCCGCACACACATAGACACCAATCCAATCCCTACAATCCCGCTTTTGCAGGTTAGCCGTCGGAGCTCCGTGGTTCGTGAGGAACGTTGACCTACACGACGACCTGGGCCTCGAATCTATCCAGAAATACATGAAGTCAGCGTCGGAACGGTACTTCGATAAGGCTATGCGTCATGATAATCGTCTTATCGTTGCCGCCGCTGACTACTCCCCTAATCCTGATCACGCAGGAGCCAGTCACCGTCGACGCCCTAGACACGTCCTTACGGATCCATCAGATCCAATAACCTTTGCATTAGACGCTTTCAGCTCTAACACTAGGAGCAGGCTTAGGGACCCCGGTAACCGTACTCGTCGATCTCGACAAAGAGTTCGCCGTGCAACCTAACCCATGAATCAGCTAGCTGAGTTTCTCGCCGGATCTTCTCAGCGAGTCGCGATTCCGATCCGGTAGTAGATTCATTCGCGAAGCAGCTGCTCTTGAGTTCTTAGGTCTCCTTCGGAGGCGCTCGAGAAGTTGTTAGCAAATCCCACCCCTTCTGGCTGAGCCTTTGCTCGCCCACCTGTCCTGGTGAA